AGTATATTTTTGTAGATTAGTCAATGAAGAATTAAAACATACTGGTGGATGTAATGATAGAATTTGAACTAATATTAGTTGAAAAATATCAATATTCCTATAGCAATCGTATTATTTGTTTGTTTAAATCACTATCGTTTAACATACACATATATCATATATATATATATCTTAGTTGTTCTAATGTAGTCATAATTCACAATACTATATTATACGGTTAATTTAGAAACGTTTACATTTAAACTTAAGTGTATATTTAACATATAAGCAATAATTGTACCTTTTTATTGCAAAAACACAAGTTGATTTACTTGAGCAAAATTCAGTATTTTTGAACATTAAACACTACAAGCAAATAAAATCAAATCATGCTATTTTTTCTTTGTGCTAAGCGCACTAAAAAACCTTGCCCGGCTTCATGGGCTCTTCATGCAGTGCTGAGCGCACTTACAATACCACTCCCCTTTTTGGGGCTTCCTCTCGCAAGTTTACGTATTTTATCGTCCCTTCCGTGTAATTTGCACATTGCGCAAAGTCCCAGTTCCTCGACTTGAAATTCTGAAAGCATTGATCAGGACTTTCGCATCGGAGTAACTGGCACCTTCGCGCAATACCAGACTCACCATCAATATGATGTCCAACAACAACGTCTTGTCAAAACCGCACGGTGGGTCCAATGTCTTACACAAGTCCAAGACCTCTTTGACGAATGAAATTGGGATTTTGACATTCTTGTGCTCGATGCAATTGGTCCTTTGATCATAGATTCCGGTCTCAAGGCACTCACCAAGGAATTTTTCGACTGAAGAAGTCATCTTCTTTCCTTGGGCATTTTCGCCAATCCCAAAAAACACCATATGCACAGAATGCATGCCAAGAGAACGTGAATCCTCGTGTGTGCTCAAAACCATCATCCGACAACTCGGAAATGGTGTAGTGTAGAAAAAGCATCAAGTGTCCCAGACGAACCTTGAGCCATCATTGCCGCTTGCCTTCCATATCCAAATCATTCCAAATCTTCGAGTATCACGAAGAAAACTCTGCCTGCGCATGGACATGGAAGAATGTTCAGACTGAGCTTGCGCCATCATTGCCGCTTGCGCTTCATCTCT